CCCCCTCCCTGGGCCCCGTCGCCAGCAGGCCCAGTCAACCTGGGCAAAGGCAGCTTGCTCTCCAGGCTCCATGAGGTGGCTCTGGCCCCACAGGCGGTCTTGGCCCCGGACCAGAGCACAACGGGTGGCGGACGGGCCCGGGTCAGGCCTCCAGGAAGCCGGGTGGACAGCCGGGCCCCTCGGATGGGCTGGAGCCCTGGGGAACCTCGTGGGGCCAGGCCCGTGCCACCCTCGCTGGGAGGAGCCGCCCCACCTCCGGGGGCAGCCAGACAGGAAGCGGCGCCCAGGAGGCCCGCAGCCCCCACGGGACACACACGGTGCCCGGCGCGGCCTGCCGCAGCTCCCACTCGGGGCAGACGCGTGGCCTGGGGAAGCCCGAAGCTTTCTCCCGGCCAAAGAGCCCGCTCAGCCCCAGCCAGAGCTCCCCTCAGGCCTGGGGGCTGCACCCTGGGTCCCCTGGGCATCCTAGGAACCGCTAAGGCCCAGGAACAACTCTCCTGGGCTGCTGGCCGCGGAGGCGGAGGGCCGGGCATCTGAGTGTGCGGATGGATTTTAAAAAATGTGGCCGTCACCATAAAGAAGGTCCTTCCAGGACTTGTCAGGGAGCAAGGAAAGGCTTCAGGCATTCTCCTTACAAAATAGTAAAATCTCACGTTTTCTTCTAGAAGAGCCTGAACTTTAAAGTGCTCAATAACTAAGGTTTGTTCATAATTGGGGTGAAAGGCACCCAACAATACTGGAGTGGGTGGGGGGAGCTGGGAGCTGAGGGGCCCCCCGGGAGCTGCAGAGAGCGCACCCCCCCCCGCCAGCTCAGGCCCTCACATGGACGGGGTGGTGGTCCCATGTCAGCACCACACCATGAGGGTGTCTCCCCAGTGGCTGCCCCCCACCTCCCAGCAGGGGCGGCCGATCCCAGGGTGGGAAACAGCCATGCAGGACAAAGGCGCAGGGGCAGGACTGGGGCCTACCCCCAGGTGAGCACTTCACCTGAGGCTGGAGCCACACGTGCAGGGTCTCACCAGCCCCTTCGCTTCTGCTGCCTGGAGCCTTCGACCCTGTTCCCTGGGTGCCTTGGCAGAAACTATCTTAAACAAACAGACGAAGAAACACTAAGGATTAAGTAAACTCCTGAGGATCAGGTTGTCAGAAAACGTCTCCTGCCTGTCCTTCCTCCTCCTTGGGCTCTGGGGCAGGGGCAGAGGGAGGGCTGGGGCAGGGGCAGGGCTGGGGCAGAGGGAGGGCTGGGGCAGAGGGAGGGCTGAGGCAGAGGGAGGACTGGGGCAGGGGTAGAGCTGGGGCAGCGGGAGGGCTGAGGCAGGGCAGAGGGAGGGCTGGGGCAGAGGGAGGGCAGGGGCAGGGCTGGGGCAGGGGTAGAGCTGGGGTAGGGCTGGGGAGGAGCAGGGGAGGGGCAGGGCTGGGGCAGGGGTAGAGCTGGGGCAGAGGGAGGGCTGGGGCAGGGGCAGGGCTGGGGCAGAGGGAGGGCTGGGGCAGAGGGAGGGCTGGGGCAGAGGGAGGGCAGGAGCAGGGCTGGGGCAGGGGTAGAGCTGGGGCAGGGCTGGGGAGGAGCAGGGCAGGGGCATGGCTGGGGCAGGTGTAGAGCTGGGGCAGGGCTGGGGCAGTCACCAGAGAGGGAGGTTCTGGGACCTGACCCAAGAGCCAACCTCAGCGCCTCTGGCTGGGCAGAGGGCAAGGGTGGGAGAAGGACCTTCTAGAGAACCCCTCCACTCCCATTTGGTGTGAGCCCCCAAAGCCACATGACTGTCAGTGAGACCAGCCAGTCCCAGGACCACTGGGTGAGGAGGAGCTTCCCGTCTTTAGTAAAATAAAGGTGGGGTCGGGGGCTGCAAGCACAGCCACACCCCCAGGCGGCCCACAGCAGAGATCTGTGCTCTCCATTCCTCTCTGTACTGATCGGGCTTTGTAAACCTCTTCGATGGCTTCACAATATGAAAAACCCCAAACACTCCAAACTCAGCAGCCCCCTCCCGCCCCCAGAAAGCTCTCCTTCCCAGCCCCAGGGGTCAAGGCCACTGTGCGGAGTGCAGGAGGCTGGGCGGGCAGGTGGGGAGCAGCCTCCCGGGGCAGCGCCAACACCAGGCCAGGCTGGCTTGGGGGCGGGGGGGCGGCTTCGGCCACAGCAGAGCCGGAGCCCAGGAGTCACAGGGGGGTGGCTGGGGAGACCTTGGGGCCAGGAGGGTGGCCCCGCAGCCTCTCCCGGGGCTGGGGCTGGTTCTTTCCTAAAAGACACTTTACAAAACTACATTGTCACTGAGTTTAATAATCTTCCCCCTTCCAGAAAGGCCTGACGGGCGCTGCTTGCTGCTCACTTCTGCCCCATTCCAAATATTTTTACCTTATTTGGATGAAATGCATTATTTTTCTAATGAAAGGCTTTTTTTTTTCCAAAGGGCTGTTTTCCCTCCGTCCAGCAGCTGCCTTTATTAGGCAGCACTCACGCCGTTTTGGGGAGGGGTTTTTTCCTCCCTGAAATCTCGCCAGACTCTCTGTCCTCAAAAGCTGACACTGGAGCTCAGGACCCGCAGGGCAGAAGGCCTCCAGGTCCAGTTTTCCTTCCCCATCTCCCGCACGTGAGCCCCAGGGCCCCGCCAGCCCACTGAACCCCACTGCCCCTGGCTGGGGATGGCGAGGCCTCGGGTCACCCGGTCTTGGGGGGCCGCCACCCACCCACCCGCCCAGCGCGCCCACCCCTACAGCGCTGGCCAGCGCCGCCCCAGGCTCCCTGCCCTCTGCTCTCCCCCTCTGGGGCCACTGCAGGAGGGGCCTCTGCAAAGGTTTGAGACCAAGTTAGAGACAGTGACAAGTGGTCACCAAGCTGAAGAGCTGAATGGGGGACCCCAAAGGACCCACCGAGGACCTGGGGTTTCCATTCACTGAGGAGAGGTGGTGGCCCAGCGGGGTCTCTGGCCACATCCCACGGAGGCTGAGGGATGGAACCAGGCCTCCAGCCCTCTGCTCATTTGTCTCGGGTCCGCCCACCCGGCTCCCAGACACGGGGCGGGGGGGGGGGGGGGGGGGGAGTCCTCGGCCCAGACAGGCTGGTAGCCCCCGCAGACTAAGAAGCCTCGCTGCTTCGGGGGCAGCAAGGAGGCGGCAGGGCAATGCAGGATCTGCTTGGCCCTAGGGAGCACGTGGTGGGGGACAAGGGTCCACAAGGACATTATGGGAGATTATAAGCATCAAAGGTGACACCTGAGAGTCGGCCAGAGGGCTGGACACTCAGGAGGGTCAGGAAGAGTTGAGTCACTGTCACGTGACCCGTGCATGGTGCCCCGGGCCACGGAGCCAGGAATGGGTCTGCAGCAGCGGGGAGGGGATTGGGCTCTGAGCCCCCAAAAGGGGCCTAGGCAGAAGAAATGTTTTCTGCGACAAAACAGCCCCAGCGCCGAGTCTCTCACCCGTCGATCCGCGGCCGCCTCCTTCCCCGGGGCTGCCGGCGGGCCCGAGGCCGGGCAGCGGCGCACGCACGGCGGTCAGCAGGCCGCGGGGCGCAGGCCCCCAGGGGGACATAGCGCGCTGCAGGGCTCTGCCCCCCGGCCGCTCACCCTGCACTGTGTCTCCACTCTGTAGCTACACGAGGCGCCTGGAGGTGGCCGTGCCGTCTGTCCCCAAGCCTGGCCGCAGCACAGGGACTTGAGGGAGCGGGGGCTCCTCAGAAGGAGGGTCACGCTGTTTTTCTGGGCGCAGCTGAACGCTGTGTGAAGGTTAACGGGAGACAGGGAGGGAGAGCGGGAGACGGGGGAGGAAGACAGAGCGAGACACACGCTCTCCTGGGAGCACATTCATCCATTTAAGGAAGGAGAGCTCATCACACTCAACACCAGGTCTATATACAGTAACATGAGGTCCCTTCTCCTGCATCAGGATGTCGCCCTTCGGCACCGAGGACCAAACCCTCCAGCTCGCAGTGAGCAGCTCACGAAACTCGCCTCGGGAAAGGGACCGCTGCCCCTCGGGCCCAAGGGCAGGGCTGCCCGGGCCTGGCCCCCCAGCCGGCTCCCCCACCCAGGGTGCACCTGGCACAGCCCTAGGGGAACCCCGCCTCTGGGCACAGGGTACTACGAGCAGACAGAGAGCCACAGGCAGGAATTAAATAGCGACAACTCGTATTTATTACAATTATATACAGTAGTATCTTATATTCTGAAACCTAGACCTGATCACACAAATGAACATGTGTTTCTGGGTGGGAAGGGCAGACAGGGAGGCCCTGACGCCTGGCTCCTATGTGGGAGTCAGAACCACGTCTCGCCATGGGGTTAGCTGAGTCACAACGCAGCAAGCGAGGACGGCAGAAGTGCAGTGTGATTTCATTCATCTGGAAGGACGGCAGGGCACGGTGGGGCTGGGGCAGCGCACGGGGGCGGCATCATCTGGACGAGAACTGGCTGCGAGGCCCCGGCCCAGAGAGAAGAGCACGGGGCCGTGGCTTCTGGAAACATGACAAGACGCCCCCCTCCCCCCCGCCCCGGCCCCTTGCGGGGCAAGTCAAGGAGCCATGGCAGGACAGGAGGGAGGCGGAAGAACAGACACATCAATGCAGCCCTTCCTCCTCGGAGCATCAGGAGCCAGGTAATTAAACTACCTCTTGTCATGCACGGTGTTAGGTTAGCTAAGATGCTCAGCAGACACGCCCTGGACGAGACCTCTGTCCGGGAGCCGGGGCTGGGGGGGGGGGTGGGTGGAGCCCAGAGCACACGCCACCCCCACCCCCCCACCCGCCCCCCCCACCTGACGTGAGCACAAGGCCGCAGGCCCGTCGGGCTGGGGCTGAGCCGAGGAAGCGGAAGGCTGGGGCTGGCGTTCAGGCGAGGGGAGGCTGCCACACAAACGCGACCCCACGTGCAGGGCTCAGGCCCCACGGAGGCCGCGACGGCTCGGGCCCGACCCGGCTGGACGCCGCCCTCCCGGAGCCGGAGAGGGAGCCGGGGCCCCCCGGCGACCCCGCTGGCGGAGGCCCAGCCCTGGGGCCGGGGGGTGGGGGGCGCCTAGTCCCGCTCGCTCTCGTTGCTGGCGCCCTCCGGCCGGCGCAGCTTCTCCACCTGCTCGGTGATCTGCCCGTCCCCGCCCCGGCGGTCCTCCCTCTGCACCCCGAGGCGGCCCTCCTCGGCCGCACGGCTCGCCTCCTCGTCCTCCCTCTTCTCCTCCTCGCCCTGCACCTCCATCCGCACCTGGCCCTTGACGTCCACCATCCCCTGGGCCTCCTCCTGGGGGCCCAGCAGGTGGTAGGTGGCCGTGGAGCCCTCGGGGCTGTGGCCCTCCTTCACGGGCGAGGAGGACGCGGACTCGTTGCTGACGGGCGAGATGTCACTGCTGCTGTGGTGGTTGGCAGCCGCGGGGCTGGACGGCGACGGGGACTTGACCGGGATCTGCCAAGACGGGATCTTCGGGGCTGAAGGGGACGGTGGGAACTGCCTCCTGACAGAGGGGGGACAAGAAGCAGGGTTGGTGCCAGTACCCTGGGGCCCTCCCTCGGCAGAGCCACATTCCCCCATCCGAAGCGCTCCCCCCCACCCCCAGGGCTGCTGAGCAGGGGGACAGGATGGAGCTCAGTCCCCCCTCCCACCCCCCGCCCCCGCCACCTCCCTCCCTGCCTGCCTCCCAGAAACAAGGCCTCTTGGCCGGTTGGAGGCTGGAGCAGCTGAGGTGGAAGCCAGGGGAGCCCTGTGAGGCTGTGGGGCGCCCTGCCCCACTCACGGCGCCTCCCGGGCCCTCCCTGCCCGGACCGGGCCCCTGCCTGCCTTGGCAGGTACTGGCCCCCTGACCCCAGGGGCTGCCACACGCGGAAGCCCGCTCTCTCCTGGTCCTTTGCATCGAGGGGGGGGGGGGGTGGTGAGGACAGGGAGCCAGCAGGGCACCGAGACCGAGCCGGAGAATTGGGAACCCAAGCCATGCAGCCTCAAACTCCATCTACCTTGTCCGCAGACTGGGCAGAAGGGGGAAGACCTGGCCACCGGCTGTGGGGTCAGAAACCTCACAACCAGAAGGGTAACACTGGTGCACTTTGCTAGAAATCCTCTGAGCTCAACATTCGACAGGGAAGTCACTTCTCCACTCCTGTTTCCCTGCTCTGGGCCCTGAGCCCTGGGCCAGCAGCCAGCCGGACCAAAGCCGATTCCATGAGGGACCCGGGAGGTCAGGTCCGCTTGGCAGTGGTCTAGGACATCCAGGCCCATCTCTGCCTGAGCCAAGAGGACAAAGGCCTGCTCTCTCCTGGGCGGCCCACCGTCCACCAGTGCTGGTCCCAGGATAGCTCTATCCCCCTCGGCTCCCACAGTGGGGGGAGGGGCGGGGGCGGGGGGGGCACACAGCAAAGGCGGCCTGGATGTTAATGAGAAATGCACTTGGCACTTTTCTTGGCTCCAGTGTTACCCAAATGCCGGCTCTCTGTCCCTCTGACCTCAAAGGCTCGTCTCCGAGGTTCAGAAACAAAGGATTTCTCCTAATGACACACGCCTCTCTTAGGGCCACATTCTTTTCTTCCAAGATGGCCTACAAGTAGGTGGCTTGGAGAACTGGATCCCCTGGTTGGGGCCACAAGACCCCTGCAGCCCCCAATCTTTGACCCCAAGTGAAGGGCCACTCTGTGCCTTTGGACTGCCTCACGGAGCCCCCGCTAAGCCCCGGAGAAGTGAGAACGCAGCCAAGGCCAACCTGAAGTGCCCTGAGGTGGGGCGACCAACTGTCCCAGTATCTATTCCAGGACGGAGGGGACACAAGTCGGCCACCCTCCACTCAGGGCAGCACTGGGACACAGCTTCCAGTGTGGAGGCTCAGGGAAGGTGCTATCACCACAGAGGGACAGCAAAAGGAGACCACTGCTTCTGTCCCCTGCCTCGAATCCAGAATCCTTCCAACCAAGGACTCCCTGGCCTTCTGCGAGGAACTTGTCTGGGACCAAGCTGTCACTGAGAGGTCCAGTGTCGGGGCTCAGGACGGAGGAGGAGGTGGTGTCCCTGCCTGGAGGTCCTTTTCAGGATGGGGGTGTTCTCCTTTGTTCAAGATCCTGCGCCGTGGCTCCAACCATCCCTGACCAGGTCTTGACAGGGCTGAGGGACTGCTGTACTTGAGAACTTGGGGGCACTGCGGACTGTCCCCACCTAGAGTGGAGAGGGAGGGGGCCTCCCGGGGAGGGAAGGCAGAAGCTCCAACGACTCCCAAACTCAATGCCTGAGTCGCCCAGCTCCACCAGGGGCTGGACGGACAGGGGCCCCTCGGGGAGATGCGCCCCGACCATGACAGCTGGCCAGGCCCCAGGAGCTCAGGCTCTGCAGTGCCGGGCTGGGGGTGCAGAGCCACAGCCACGCCTTCTCCCCTCCTACCGGTTTAAAAGCAGCCCCTTCAAGGAGTTAATTTCCGACTTGAGCTCATTGATATTCTGAGACTCCAGGATCCAATTGGTAGATGAGGTGGCCTGAAAGTCAAAACACGGGAGAAGGAGGATCAGAGCGGCACCTCCCTCCTGCCTGTGGAGCTCAGACGGCCAGGGTGGCAGGAGGGGCTGCCGTCTCCAGAGGACCCAGGGTACGAGTGCAGCTCCCAGGGCCTGCTAGGTCCTGGGTGCCAGCCTGGAGACCCCCTGGGAAGGTTCTGCCACTGCCCGTTCAGGGGTCTGCCTACCTGGCTCTTTCTGCTTCAACGATGGCACCCTCAAAACAAACATGCCCACAACTCTGTCTGGACATCGGATGATACTAAGCAATTGAGACATGTATTTAGGTCTATGGTAACGGTATTCCGACTATGTAAAATAACGGCAACACAAGAGCCCTTATCCTTCAAGAGATGCAGACGCAAGTGTCTGCAGTAGCAAATGATCCACCGTCTGGCGTGTGCCACCACACGAGCTGGGGGCCGTGGGCCGGGGGGCCGAGACCGTGCCCAGCGGTGTGCCGGAAGCAAGCCATCCGCTCTGTGGCCCTCCATTTCCGCCTGTGTTTGAAATGTCCCATTAAAACTAAACCAATAAACTAAGTGAATTCCATCTCCACATCAACTGCTCCAGCGGAGTGCCTCTACCTGCAGAGACAAGCCCACCACACACAGGAGGGAACCGTGGGGCGGAAGCCAGCAGCCGCCACAACCCACACTGGACAGGGCTACCTGGCTTCCCTACTTCGCAGGTACTGTGTTTTTGTTTTTTTGTTTTTTTTTTTTTTTACAAAGTGAAGGTTTGTGGGCAGCCCTGCGTCGAGCAAGTCTGTCGGCGCCATTTTCCCAATACCACTTGCTCGCTTTGAGTGTCTGTGTCACGTTTTGGCAATTCTCGCAATATTTCAAACTTTTTCATTATTATTATATTTGTTATAGTGATCTATGATCAGTGAATAGGACTCACTGAAAGCTCAAATGATCGTTAGCAATTTTTAGCAATAAAGTATTTTTAAATTAAGGTATGCACATTTTTTTGGCATAATACTATTACACCCTTAAGAGACTAAAGTATCGTGTAAACATAACTCTCGTAACACACTGGGAAACCAAAAAAGTAATCTGACTCACTTTATTGTGATACTGGCTTTACTGTGGTGATCTGGGACCAGACCCGCTGGTCACTCCAAGGTGTGCCTGTGCTGGGGGGCCGGGGAGACCGCTGAGCACCTGCCTGGCCCGGCCCCCAGCTCCAGTGGCAAGCAGGCCCAAAAGGCAGGCTTCGCCTCAGGAGCACCTTCCCGCACTGCTGGACAGCCCTTGGCTCCCACCGCAGCGAGGTCAGGCCCCCAGGCTTGCACCCAGCTATCTGCAAAGCCACAACGTGCGGGCCACACCATCCGTCCACAGCCACTGCTTTGGGATAATTCTGAAGGCTCAGCAGAGAGCAAGAAGCTGTCCTAGGACTTAACGCCAATTCTTTCCCTGAAGAGGGCCCACAGGAGAAACTGCCACAACCCCTAGGACAGACGCCATCCTTGACCGTTTTCCAAATAAACTTCAGAGAACTACACCTTTCTTTGGCAAATCTTGTTGGGATAGACGGAGAAGAGGAAAGTCCAAATGGTGGTCCCCCAAATGGTAGTTGCTGGTGGCCAAGCGGTCTGTGAAGTGTTTATGGGCCAATTCCAGGTGTGATGGGCCCAGGTGTATGGGCCTACATCCACCAGGCTGGAGGCCACCTCCAGGTGGCTTCAAGTACACGGATTAGTCGTGTAAGGCCCCAGCTTCCCTAACACCTCTACCCTGGCCTGACCCAGAAAACCGGAACCATAAGTTCAGGAGAACATGGGGAGGCCCAGGCTGGCAGAGGGGAGGGGCCCCGGATGTTCCCACCAGGGTGGCAGGGGTCTCTGACCTGGGGTGGGGGCCCCACTCAGGTGAGCACTCCTCTACAGGGAGAAGCCCTGCAGAGCCCCCCAACCACATCCCCTGCAGAGGGGCTGGAGGTCTTGGAGGGAGCGCACGCAACCCCCCTGGAAACACCAGCCGCCCGCACACACATCCCCTCGGGGTCCTCACTCCAGACCACCAGACAGCGCAGATCCAGGAGCCACCATTCTGGCTTCTCGGAGACCTTGAAAGCCATAGCAGCCCATTAACAAGGGAGCAATTTCCACTCACCGGCCTACAAAGGACTCAAATTTCCAAACGCATATGGTGCCAGATGCCAGGATTTAGAAATAAAATCTGACATCTGGGGCTTTTTAGCCAGTCTCTTTAAAAAACAGTTGTAGAAAACTCTCAACCTTCAGTTTTATGTAGGTTTTTTAATTACTTAACGCTCTTCTTTTTAATTTTTTACAGTGCTGCAGTAGGAGTTTGGAAGCCAGATATAAAAACTTACATTACAGCTGAGAAAACACAGCTCTGAGTCGCTAGTTTATGGGGTAACCAAAGTCTTCATGCATTTGGGTTTAGACACCACACCAGTGAGCCCCGCTGCAGTACAGGAGAGGATGAAAGGGGGCTGGGGGCGCGGGCGAGGGCGGGGGCGGGGGGAGGCCGTTAGGGAAGCAAGCACAAGAAATTCACAGAGACAGCTCTCAGCCGCCAAGCACAATCTCGGGCCCCCTCCCCTCTTAAAATGCAACATGTGGTCTTAATCTTAATGCTCAAGGTCTGCAAACAGTTTTCCAATTTCCGGAATGGCTTCTGGCCATTGGCAGGCCACTACTCCCAAAGATAATAGAGGAGAGCAGGGTGGGGGCCATAACCCAGCGTTCCCAGTTGCTTTACGGGCTGCCCGCCCACAGGGAGCACATACCGTGGCTAGAGGTGGCCACGGGCAACCACAGCCATCTGAGGAGGAAGTGGGGTATCCAAGAAGGGGGTTCTTGGGGACCCTCTTCACAAGAGGCACCCCAGATCCCATCGGAAATGGAAAGATTCCTGTTTCACTTGGTTTTGCGAATGTAAAAGATTTGAGCACCGGCTCACATCTGGTTCTGCACCGGGTGGGGCTTCTCCTGGGAGAGCCACTCAGAGGAGGTTCCTTGACTGTACAGGCTGTGTGGAAACAACCAGAAAGCAGCACGGGGAAGGGGATGGAGTGGGGAGCACAGCGGACGTCCCGGAGTCACTGGTGGACCACTGTCTCCTGGGTTGGGTCTGTCCAAGACAGTGCCCTGGGAATGAGCCTGTCGCGCACCCACAGACCCAAGCCAGCAGCCTGCCATGCTGGGAGCCGACGGGAGCCAGGCACTGTTCTGAGCGCATACAGACAACGAAGGAGGTGCCATTAACAGCTTCACTTTACAGATGAGGAAACAAAGACTCAGGGAGGTTAAGTAACTTGCCTGTGCTCACACAGCTAGCTGGTGGCAGAGGCAGATTGCGACCCAGGTGGTCTGATCCTAGGATCTCATATTGCCAAGACTGCTCAGATGTGGGAAGTGAGGCAAGGAAACTGCTCCTTCAGGGGTCACCTGACTTCCCGAGAGCTGAGTGTAGAGACTCTGCCCACGGTAGCCAACGTCACCTGGTGTCTTGGCACGCTCCCCCTACCTCCCTGTCCCCTGGACTCGCTCTTGGCCACGCTGTGACCTGTGACCTAACATGCTTGGGGAGACCATCCTGTGTCTACCCCAACCACATCCAGAGCTGGGTGTGTGCTGCCTGCCACGGGAGGGCCACAGGCAAAGAGCTGCTTCTCCTCCCCCGGCTAGGAGGGGGCATGGAGAGACGGTGACTCCCTCCTCTCTCTGCAGAGGGCATGTGGGCCCCTGCTGTGTAACGGGCACGAGAAAAGACAGAGTCGGCCCCCATGGAACGCAGTGAACTGGGCACAAAGGCCCCTAGAGGAGCCCTGGATCTGGAGAGGGTCAGGGACAAGTACCTTGGCTGCAGCCAGTTCGTGGGCGAGCTCCTGGACCTTCTGCTGCTGCTGAATCAGCAGCTCCTGGACGGAGGCTAAAGTCATCTGTAACTGAGTCACTGGGAGGAGAAAGCAGTCGCATCTCTGTTAAATGATACGGATTCTTCCCCTCTCTGTCCACACACCTAGAGTTGCCGCATCTCACTGATCTGCAGACACCCCCCCACCCCGCAATGCATGTAATTTATCTGTGCTCTGGGCCGTCTACCTGCACCGTATCTAACCTCTAGCATTCCCACTCCATCTTTCCATTGTGCACTTGTCCGTGGTCAACAGTATATCCGTCCGAAACCTCTCCCCTCCAATCACACATGCTTATGATTTGCTCGGCTCTTCCGACTCTGGTACCGTCCGTGTCCCTCATCTCAGCCCCTCACCTCGTGGGAACCTGTGGACTCTCCCATGCTGGCAGGAACGCATCTCAGGCCCGAGATCCCGGGAGTGGTTCAAGACTCCAAATCCTGCTCTCTGGCCGTTCCTCCCTGCTTTCCACACCCAATCCCGAGGCTGCCGGCATGCCCCCGGGTCACAGTGTCACAGGACCGTATGGGAGCCACAGGCCCCAGTGTCAGCCTCCCTGGGGGCTCTGCAAACGCACCCCGGCGGGGGACAGACTCCTGCCTGGGACAGTGGCTCCAGCGCTTGCCTGAGTTTTTAGATTCAGAGCCTCCGTCTAGTAAACAAGTTTATAAAGAGGAAAAGCCACCTCTGGTGCGACAGGTCCCAGCTAATCTGGGCCATCGTTGGGGCACCGGGTAATGAACGCCAGCCCCGTGGAGTCGATGACAGAGGAGGTGGCTGGGGTCCCCGGAGCCGCAGTAATTACAGCCTTTCTTGACCCTGTGTTGGATTCTTAGAGGGAAGGGGGAAAAAATCGCTGAAAACCCCCCTGAAAACCTCACAGAAGCAGAAATTAAAAATGAACTTTACAGCCCTTAGAAAGGCTGTCATTTTATTCCCCTTATTAATATTCTGAGGTTGGGAGCCTTTCCGTAAAAACATAATTAATTGAGGCCGCGCCGACAGTAAACAAGCAATTTCAAATTAAACCGAAATGACGGCGGCTTCATTTGCAAATGTGAACAGATTCTCAGAGCAGATAAATGAAGTCACCACATAAAGTGGAGACGGAGGGGGAGGGGCGGGGCAGAGAAGGGGCTGCTGGAGAAGGCTCGAAGGGGCGACTTGATGGAGTCATTAATCTTTACCTGTCTGTGCCACGCTGCCACTCAGCTCCGAGAGACTCGCCTCCATACTCTGCAGGTGCTTCCTGTCCTCTCGGCCACCCATGACGAGGGGGAGCAGGTATCTCTACAAGGAGCAGGGCGGGCGTCAGCAGCGGACACACACTTGGGGTCATTCTCCAGCCACCTCTCAAATTCTGCCCACCCACTTTCTCTCTGTCACCTCCGGGTTTCGGAAACCCGCCGCAAACACCGACAATGAGATACTTGAAAATTACGAGGCTGATTAAAATTCCGCATAAGGACAAGGACCAGGAAGTAGGGACAAGTTAAAGTCAATTTGGTCTATTTTTGGTCCTTTTATTTAATTATCTCAACGATGCTACGTATATTTCCGTAACAAAAAATATTTAAAATTCTGCTCTGAAAGTTGTAAGATAAAAATGTAGAAGGTGATACAAGACAGTGACACCACTGGTGGCCTCCAGGGAGGAGCGGCAGGGCCGCGTTCGACTGTACACTTTTCTGATCCTTTAAACATTTTGATCCACGTGAATGAATCACCATTCAGAGACAAATGCATAAAATAAAATAAACAAAAAAATTATTCGAGAAACTAGATGAAAATCCACAGCACATTTCTGGGCCTTTGGTCCTTTTACTAGGGAATAATACACGGCATTCCGAGGCCATCGAAAGAGGTCACACCTCAAGTTTTTTTCCTAAACTAAGCCTTGAATCCTCAGAGCCAGCGTCCTTCGGGTAAGAGTCAATCAAATGCAGTCAAATTCCCCCAGACACAAAGGCAGAAGGGAGAGGAAGGGGCAGAACCTGAAGAAACTGACCCTGGGGAGAAGGAAGCAGATGCCACGGGGCAACCAAACAAGGTGGCCCAGAATTCGGGAAGCCCAGGGGAGGATGAGGGTCTCGGAACATTCAGGAAGAAGGCAAGTGGGGCACAGCTGGTAACTGGCTGCCTGCTTTGAGGTGGGAAGGGCTGGAGGGTGGGCAGCAGGGCGGCCGCTGGGAGGGCTGGATGACAGAACACGGGCACTGCACTCCAGAAACTCTTGTTCTAGAAGCGTGAGCCCAGTCTCCAGTTTTAATGGGGGCGGGGGGCCCTGGAGGCAGCACAGGTCGGCAGGTGTGGTAACTGGCAGGTGGGACCAAAGCATGTGGCTTCTAACTCCATTTGGGGCCCAGATGGGAGAAGAGACAGCAGCAGCTTCTCCGTTAAGGGTTCTGTACGGGGGAAGGAGAAGCAGGTCTCTCACAGGACTCGCTTCAGGAGCAACTCTGGAGTGAAGATCATTATTTAGCAAAGACACAGAAGCATTTTCTATTTTGCAAAAAGCTTTTCAACCACTGTGTGAGTTATTACCCACAACTGAGCCGAAACTCATCAAATGTTTAGCCTTACCTTCCAGGCTGAAAGTTTCCTGAGTATAAAAGTCAAGGGATTCTCACACATGTAACAAACGAAAACTTCTGAGATCAAAAAAGCCAAAGGAAGGAGCACATACACTCCCCTGAGCCTAAGTCATTACATATTTATAAAACAAGGTGATGGTTCTTACTTTTTTTTTTTTTAATTTAAAGAAACGAAACAAAAAAATTCTCATCACCATTGCCACTGATCTTTCAGTGTCTCTTACTTTTTAAGGCAAAGAGTAAAGATCAGAGCTTGGTGGGAAAAGCTGATGATACCTCTGCTTTGCTCCAACAGGAACTATACCCACTTCCAGCAGACCACAGGCCGTCCGAGGGGGGCCACGTGATGATTAGGTACTGCTTAGTAGAGCTGGGACCTTATTTTGAGAATTCTGTCTTAGCATTTTATTCTTCTTCACACAGGGTAAGGGAAGGGCATCAGGTCAGGGGGAGAAGTCCCAGGACCTAGAACATTTTGCTTCTGGATTTCTGACATGGAAATTTCCAATTCCAAGAATAGATGTTCCTCTGAAAAAATTATACTCTGCTGCAACTCTGTCACTAGCTTTTGCATGAAGTCAAAAATTAAGAATCCCAGAGCACAGTGTTTAAACATGTTTCACGTGCTGAAAGTTACAACAGTGAGTCTGGGTATTCGCTGCAGGTGACATCAGGAGGAAAGAGGCCTTCTCTCCAGGACCAGCAGAGAGTAAGTCCTCTGGCCACTGTTTTGCCTTTTGTCTCTGGGACCTACCCTGGCTCTGCATCTTCCAGAAAAGACTCGCTTACTTCACATCAAAGTTAGTATCTGGTAGTTCGTATCCGGTTAGTATTTGGTATTCCGAGTACTTCCTTGATACCAAATACTAACCGGATAGGAAGTACGTGTTCATTTCATGCCTGCAGTTCTTCTGGAAGCAACCAAGTCTGGGATCCTGAGGGTTGACTATGAAGTTTGGGGAAAAAATCCTAGATTTACAGGGATGCCAACACAGTATGTAGGAAACAAAAACAGAGCCCATAAATAAAATGATACTGGGATTCTCAAAGCCGGTTTCAAATACTCAAGTAGAATAATAGCACAGAGTGCTTCCTGAGTGCCGGGCACATAGCACTTTCCAAAGGAGCTTCACTACAGCCTTGCGAGGTAGGTACTATCGTCCCCATTTTACAGATGAGACCACTGAGCTCCTGCTAAGTGGCAGAGCTGGGATGCAACACAGCAGCTGGGCTACAGTGTCCCTGCTCTCAACCACCTTGTCATTCTGTTTCTCAAAATGTCCCAACTACTCAGCATATGCCGGGCACTGTTCTAAGTACCCGACATGGCCTGCTGATGGACAGGCCCCATGGTCACCCTGCGCAGCAGGGACTCTGAGGAGCAATGCCCAGTGCAGCAGATGAGCAGGGTCTGAAGTTGCCAAGAGCACCCATCCAGGTGGGGGCAGGACAGAGACTGAAAAAGACGCCCCCTGCAGAAAACGTGCTCATCCGTACATTCTGCCCCTGCAAGCGGCCCCTCTCCTGCCATCGCACGCACTCCAGGGCTGGGCACCTCGACACAGATCAACCTTGGAATGGGGCTGAATGCCGGCGTGGGGGGCACAAGGAAGGGCGGACGTACCTTGTAGAGCTGGTGAAAGCCGAACGCAATGCCTGCCGTGATGACAGCCAAGGCACCGTAGTCTCTCCATCGGGACCCCACGGAGCCTGAGGTTGGGAGAAAAGGTGCGTCAGGAGAAGCACACACATCCTTCCCGGGCAGGGGAGAGCACGTGTACCGTCTCTTAATCTCGAAGGATCGGCAACTGTGACACACAACTGCAGGAGACAGCGTGTGACAGTGAGGACAGTGGCATGGCTGTGTCTCTCTCTTCTGTCCGGGCTCTCGAACGACCCGCCTCAACAACACACCTGCTGTGTGGAGGTGGGTAGCCATGAGCCAAGTCCTCGGTGGCAGTCGGGTGGCAGAGGTGATCTGCGGACCTACCACATGGACTCCACTCTCAGGGAACAAAGGGTCCTGTGAGGCTGACACAAACACTTAAGTGTGCACAAATACACATCCCCATGCCCTATTACAGACAGGGATGAGCTAAGAGCCGCCTCAGAACCGGGGGAGGGGAAAGGAGGAGACTGCATCATCTGTGTATTCAAGACTTCATGAAGCATCAACTGTGTGCCGGACAGTGTTGTAGGCCCAGGGGCGTGGGGTGACGAGACCCCAGTGCCCTGGAATGTTCTCATCCTGAACCATGCAGCAGACAGCTTACAAATGACTGAACAAGGTAACTCCAGAGAGTGATCAAGAAGGCCCAACGGGGTGGGGTGCCTGGCCGGGCTCAGTCGGTGCAGCATACGACTCTTGGTCTCGGGGTCCTGAGTTCGAGCCCACATTGGGCAGAGAGACTATTTAAATAAATAAAATCTTTAAACAACAACAAAAAGAAGGCCCAACGGGGCAATGTGAGGTGGGAAGGGCCAGGGAGGCGAGCCAGGGGTCAGCAGGGCCTTGGAGGAGGCAAACACTGAAACATGTGGGGTCCCAGGGACAGAGCTCCAGGCAGGGGACGAGCAAGTACCAAGGCAGGGGTTGACTTGTGCTCAAGGAGAGAAGGTGGCCACTGTGGCCCGAGTGAGCAACTGGGCCTACCCAAGAGGGGAGACTGGCAAGAACAGAGAGGGGCCAGTCAAGCGGGAGTGGTGGAGAGTCGAGTGAGGGGAAAGAGCTGGGACACGCAGCGGCCAGGCCACCCGATCATCGTGTCACAAGCAGTAGGGTCACTGAAGGCTCTGAATCCGGGAGTGGCCCAGTCAGCCCTATATTCTGGGAGAACAACATCGGGTACTCTCAAGGGCAAGACACAGGCGGGAGGGGAGGGAGGCCAGGCAGGAGGCGGCTCCTGCCAGGGGGTAAGACGGACCGGGAGAGGACAAGAAGCGCAGAAGAACCCATGCTGCTGTCGGGCGGGGACCGGACACGGGCAGCCCGTCCCCCTGCAGGAGCAGGACCCTGGCCCAGTGCTCTAGAACACCATCTCAGGAGCTCCCCCCACTCCTGAATGGAATTCCAATCCCACAGGAAGAGAACGGAGTGTTCTACCTTGTGATCTTTCCCACGGACTGTTTACAAAGTGCCTGCACGTCCATAACCTTCTCTGACACTCTGCCTCCTCTGAAGGGATCCGCCACGGAAGGCACGGCGCACCATTTCCAGAATGATCAGTGGTGCTGGACTCTAATCGGGTCTGCAGAATCAGACCACAGTGCCCACGGCAAATTATCCAGAAGGCACCCACCCAAGGCGTGCTGTTATGACAAGGAAGCTGGGGTCTGGACACGCACAAGAGAAAAGGAAGAACAACAGCATTCTCAAACTTCTTGAAAAGACCACCACAGCTCCCGGAGCAAAGCCCCATGGCAAACCGTGGGGACAGACACTGTGTGTCTCAGCCTTCCCCTCTCCCTGTACCTGCAAGCTCTCCAGGTACTCGTCATAGCCTGGCATCTCCTGACAAAGGAGAGCAGGAGAGGGACCTTCTCCAGGCTCAGTGACAGGATGTGGGTACTCGGTGAGGAGGGCCTGCTGACGCACGGGCCACCGGGGGATCCAAGGGGCAAAGACCTCCAAGGGTGCGAGGGAGATGCTCCCTCCTACCCGAGCTGCCAAATTGGCTTTCAGGAGGCAGATGTGACAGTGATGCAGGGGCCTGGAGGAGTCTTTCCTTGCCCGCCTCCCCTTACTGCCAGCACGGCCTGTGGATCCCAAACCAGTTTCCCAGCGTGGCCCAGCCCTGGAGTCTCGTGCACAAACTGTAATCAACAGGTGGCCTCTCCCTCAGCCCTCAACTCCCCTTTTCGTTTTACAGCTTTTGAGCGGCTCATAGATGCATATGGTCTGAACAGCACATAGCATCTGTCATCAGTCTACTGCCAACAGGCTCCCTCCACCACCCAGAGCCACTGTGAACAGCTTCCCGTCTGTCCGGCCCGAGACTTTTTAAGCACATATAAGGCAACACAGATATGTATTATTTTTCTTCTCGTACACCCTACTTGTCATCCTGCTTTTTTTCCCCATAGCTGCGTAATATTCCATTTAAGCCATTCCCCACTGATTTCCGGCCTCTTACTATTTCACACAGTGCTGCCCCCAAGGGCCGTGTACACATGTCATCTCACACATACGTGTGAGGATACTTGTACACGTGAACTCCTAGGAGCCTGGGTCAGAGGTACACGCAATTTGCAATTCAGAATGATATTTTCAAATAGTCCTCCACGGGAGCTGAACCAGGCTGCTCCCACCAGCCACATCCCAGAGTGCCTACTTCCTCACGGCCACCAACACTGTGCGCTCATCACACCCGCACTGCTGCCCGTACGAAAGCAGAAAAGACTACTTCACGCCCGTTTTCATTTGCATGACTCTTACCGTGAGTGAGGACTGAGCATCTCTGCACTGCGTGTCCTTTTTGGCGTATTGCATATGATCCCTACTCTCCTATTCAATTTCTTTATTAATTTCCTCATCAATTTATAGAAATTTCTTATATAGCTGAATGCGGCTTTCAGGAGGCAGAGGTGACAGTGATGGAGGAGCCTGGAAAATGAGCCCTCTGTCTATGACAGAAGTGGCAAAAATCTGGAACGCCTGGGTGGCTCAGTCAGTGAAGCGTCTGCCTTCGGCTCAGGTCATGATCCCAGGGTCCTGGGATCGAGCCCCGCATCGGGCTCCTTGCTCAGCAGGAAGCCTGCTTCTCCCTCTGCCACTCGCCCTGCTTGTGCACGGGTGCTCTCTCTCTCAAATAAATCAATAAAATCTTTTTAAAAAATTGCAAAAATCCTTCCCGGTATATTTTTCTTTTGACTCTGCTTATGGTGTCTCCTGACATGTAGCATACCCATGTTTATATAAATGTATCTGTCTACTCTCGCATGGGCTCTGGGGTCATCCCTACTCCCTCCCAGGGTTGTACAGTGACACTCAGGGTCACAGAAGCTGTCTCCAGAACGGAGCTCCGCTGGGGCGCCTGGGTGGCTCAGTCAGTGAAGCGGCCGACTCTTGATTTCAGCTCAGGTCACGATTTCAGGGTCCTGGGATGGAGCCCTGTGTTGGGCTCCGTGCTGAGTGTGGAGCCTGCTTGGGATTCTCTCTGTCTCTCCCCCCCTGGGACTCCCCCTGCTCCCTCACTTAAAAAGAAAGAAAGAAAGGAGTCCCGCTGCTCTGCTGTAGTGAATATCCCCGTCCAACAAGCGTCTACGTGGCTAAGCAGCTGTGGCTCATTAAATCGAAAGCTCTGAGACCACTGACACAAATGGACCTTTCACCCTGGGCTGGAGGAGCCAGGAGGCTCTGAGTTCCGGGCAACCTTCTCATTTGTCTCATTCCAAGCCCACTCTGCTCTGAGTGCCCGGATGCAATATCCAACATCCAGCACAAGCTCGTTTTTAGGAGGAAAAGTGGAGATAGAGTCACCTTATCACTCTTCGAGAGAGTCACTGGTCAGGAGGGCTTTCGTCCACACCCGGAACATCCATCTGTGCTGTCAAAGTCCTCAGAGCACCTTCAAGATAGGCACATGTCCAGAATACTGTATTCACCACGGACTTCTCAAATCCCCACTCTGTACCTTGCAAGAAAACAGCTGCACCTGGGCAAGGAACTGGACCAGAACCCAAAGTTTGCCTGGCTCTTTCTTTCCCGAAAACGTATGCTGTCTTGAGAAGCGCAGCCTCTCATTCTGGGCACTGGAGCTGGAAGGCTGAACAGGTGATGACAGTTCAAGGGTCCACGAACCAGAACCCCTGTGACAGCTGCAGCCGCCTTTCCAGAGCTCTGACCTCTCAAGCACCAAGCAACACCTGTGGCTCCCTGCTGGCCGCACCCTTCAGCCCCCGCACCACGACTCGTTCCTGACATGCTCGCGTTAAGAACATTTTATTGCCCCTTGGTTTTCATTATTAATGAAAAGGGACCAGAATGATCTTTCCTAAAGTTCAGAGAGTCTATAAAGACAAGAAACTGAAATGCCATTTTACTCGTTTTGGAGATGTGTGATACAATTCTGTCTTGTGGCAAAATGAAAAAAGAGAGAAACTAAGATGGAGGGAACTCTGACCCACCACACGCCTTTCAAAGGGTAACAGACCAGGGCTACTGAGAAAGCACTCAGCGTGATCCCAAACTGGCTCAAAGCCCCAGCCATGGCCACGTGGAGTCCCCTCTGCCGCCCACCCTGGAGCCAATCTACCCCAAAGCCAGTGCAGACCCCCACGAGGGCATGGGGAGCAGGGCACCGGGTCCCCACGCTCCCTGAAGATCCAGAATTTTACAGGCAAGGGCAGAAAATGGGCTCAGTCACTTTTCTGCTCTCGCTCGGAAGAAAGGGGAGTGGAATGAATGAGCTTTTTAAAAGCTTCAGAGCCTCCAGTCTGGAAGCAGATTGCCCGCCTGCGTACAAAGCAGACAACGAAGCCTGAGATCAGAGATCCTGGTTCCACACCACCAACCCAATGGCTCCCAAGGACGTTTTTCTCTTCTCATCAAGCACAGGCCACTTGACTGAAGGCGGCAGAGCTTTGCTACGTTGGAAGAACGGAGGAACAATGATCTGTCTACTGTCACTCAGATTCAAATGGTCCACAGCACTTCCCCAACAGGCCCGACCAGCTAACGAGCTGAATGGCCCAGAACTTTACCAAGACCT